ATCAAGGTATCAGTATCAGAGTGTCAGTATCAAGGTATCAGTATCACGGTATCGGTATCACAGTGTCAGTATCACAGTATCAGTATCATAGTGCCAGTATCACAGTGTCAGTTACACAGTGTCAGTATCACAGTATCAGGATCACCGTGTCAGTATCACTGTATCAGTATAACAGTGTCAGTATCGCAGTATCAGTATCACAGTGTCATTATCACGGTGTCAGTATCACAGTGTCAGTATCACAGTGTCGGTCATCGTTTTATGTAGAAGCACGAATATATTGTTTTTCATAAATGAACATAATATAGGATTTTCCAATGTTGCTTTAATGAAAACTATCTTGGACAACTGATCATTAGTTGTCAAGTTCGAACAGGTAGGCCTTTACATCGTGTCATGAGGTCACATAGTCAAGGTGTAATGGAGTCAAATGGGTAGGTTCTCGTAAATCATTTCCATATTTCTTCTTCGTGTGATAATTAGGAATTGGTGTCAAGTACTAGGGGTTAGTTCTATGGATATACAACTTCTTTATTACAATATCTGACATAACTGTGTACATGGCTGTTTTGACATCCACACAGAAACGTTTCATGCATTGTGAAAAAGAAGTTGTATATCTATGGAATTATCTTTCTTATTCATTTTAATACTTTTAAAATTAATGAGCTGAAAACCCTTGTCATATCCTTGCCTTAATATTCGCTTATTAATCATTTGAATGTGCTATGCCACTGTAAAGAACAAGGATGTGGCTAACATATGAATGCTATTTCTCCTTTGTGTCGTCAAGTCTCTTGTCCCAGACGCTGAATAAAGATACATCAAAGTACATAGCAAATAGTGATACAGTCGTCATATCGTATGAGGCAGTAGCAGATGCATGTTATCGTGGGTTACACACCTCTCAGGAAACTATTTCCTAATGTTTATCTGTACAATGTAATCATGTTACCTGTTTGTGAGGTATTCACAAACTGTGCTATAGGTACATTGTCTGGCGTGTCTCATCGCATTCATTGGATGCTGGGCGGCAGACATATTCTTCTAAAATTATATGTTCCTGCTATTGATGAAACTTTAAAAGTATGAGATGTATTACATGCACACAACACGTGAACTCGTACACATCGTTCATTCTCAAATGCAGGCACTCAACACGTGAAGTAGTAACATCGTTCATTCTCAAATGCAGGCACACAACACGTGAAGTAGTAATATCGTTCATTCTCAAATGCAGGCACTCAACACGTGACGTAGTAATATCGTTCATTCTCAAATGCATGCACCCAACATGTGAAGTAGTAATATCGTTCATTCTCAAATGCATGCAGACAACACGTGAAGTAGTAATATTGTTCATTCTCAAATGCAGGCACTCAACACGTGAAGTAGTAATATTGTTCATTCTCAAATGCATGCACACAACACGTGAAGTAGTAATATCGTTCATTCTCAAATGCATGCACACAACATGTGAAGTACTAACATCGTTCATTCACAAATGCATGCACACAACACGTGACGTAGTAATATCGTTCATTCACAAATGCAGGCACTCAACACGTGAAGAAGTAATATCGTTCATTCTCAAATGCAGGCACTCAACATGTGAAGCAGTAATATTGTTCATTCTCAAATGCAGGCACACAACATGTGAAGTACTTACAGCGTTCATTCACAAGTGCATGCAGACATCACGTGAAGTAGTAATATCGTTCATTGTCAAATGCAGGCACTCAACACGTGAAGAAGTAATATCATTCATTCTCAAATGCATGCACTCAACACGTGAAGTAGTAATATCGTTCATTCTCAAATGCAGGCACACAACATGTGAAGTAGTAATATCGTTCATTCTCAAATGCATGCACACAACACGTGAAGTAGTAACATCGTTCATTCTCAAAAACAGGCACACAACACGTGAAGTAGTAATATCGTTCATTCCCAAATGCATGCACACAACACGTGAAGTAGTAATATCGTTCATTCTCAAATGCATGCACTCAACATGTGAAGTAGTAACATCGTTCATTCTCAATTTCATGCACACAACACGTGATCATGAAGTAGTAATATCGTTCATTCACAAGTGCATGCAGACAACACGTGAAGTAGTTATATCGTTCATTCTCAAATGCATGCACACAACATGTGAAGTAGTAATATCGTTCATTCACAAGTGCATGCAGACATTACGTGAAGTAGTAACATCGTTCTTTCACAAGTGCATGCAGACAACACCTGATGTAGTATACAGATAGGTACAACCAGAGACCAAATGGGTAGTTTGTTTTATCTATGAGACTACACTCTTCCATCGGGAGTAAAGGGCAATTTGAAACTTGCAGGGAATATTATATGAATCGATCAAACGGAATTCAGGAATCAGTAAATTAAAGTGTGCATATTGGAAAGAGAACATGAAACGGAGACAACCGCGTTTTTATATCCTATGGATAGAATACAATATTCTGTTCTGTTTGGTAGGATATCTAATCATTGACGTCTTTCTGTTTGGTTGGATATCTAATCATTGCCGTCTTTCTGTTTGGTAGGATATCTCATCATTGACGTCTTTCTGTTTGGTAGGATATCTCATCATTGACGTCTTTCTGTTTGGTTGGATATCTAATCATTGACGTCTTTCTGTTTGGTAGGATATCTAATCATTGACGTCTTTCTGTTTGGTAGGATATCTCATCATTGACTTCTTTCTGTTTGGTAGGATATCTAATCATTGGCGTCTTTCTGTTTGGTTGGATATCTAATCATTGACGTCTTTCTGTTTGGTAGGGTATCTAATCATTGACGTCTTTCTGTTTGGTAGGGTATCTAATCATTGACGTCTTTCTGTTTGGTAGGGTATCTAATCATTGACGTCTTTCTGTTTGGTAGGGTATCTAATCATTGACGTCTTTCTGTTTGGTAGGGTATCTCATCATTGACGTCTTTCTGTTTGGTAGGGTATCTAATCATTGACGTCTTTCTGTTTGGTAGGGTATCTAATCATTGACGTCTTTCTGTTTGGTAGGGTATCTAATCATTGACGTCTTTCTGTTTGGTAGGGTATCTAATCATTGACGTCTTTCTGTTTGGTAGGATATCTAATCATTGACGTCTTTCTGTTTGGTAGGGTATCTAATCATTGACGTCTTTCTGTTTGGTAGGGTATCTAATCATTGACGTCTTTCTGTTTGGTAGGGTATCTCATCATTGACGTCTTTCTGTTTGGTAGGGTATCTAATCATTGACGTCTTTCTGTTTGGTTGGATATCTAATCATTGACGTCTTTCTGTTTGGTAGGGTATCTCATCATTGACGTCTTTCTGTTTGGTAGGGTATCTAATCATTGACGTCTTTCTGTTTGGTAGGGTATCTAATCATTGACGTCTTTCTGTTTGGTAGGGTATCTAATCATTGACGTCTTTCTGTTTGGTAGGGTATCTAATCATTGGCGTCTTTCTGTTTGGTAGGATATCTAATCATTGACGTCTTTCTGTTTGGTAGGGTATCTAATCATTGACGTCTTTCTGTTTGGTAGGGTATCTTGATGTCTTTTTGTTTGGTAGGGTATCTTATCATTGACGTTGTGCTCTCCCAGCTCTATTCACAGATGAAACACGTACCATGTACCAGGAACGGGATAATGAAATACCCTCAAACATCAAATGTATTATCTCAAACGCATGCATATATTTGATCCATTCAAAAAATTCATTGATTCAAAATTGTTCACTTAATATGCCTTTCATCTTTCTGTACTCTCAGTGGTTCGATTGTTGAAGCAGCATGTGACGTCATACGTTGTTTTATGTCGTCACTGCATTCCAAATCGACGTCATTTTGTATTCCGATGACTGATTGTTGAACAACCCAAATGTCTGAGACATTCCACCGTCATTGTGCTGTGATCGTTTTGTGAGCGTGACTTTGCAACCAGTACAAAATAATACCGACCGGAGATGTATATTGCAGCATTGAAACGTTCATTTCAAACTTGCATGACTCAACTTGAACGTTAACCGGTGCATTTGGAACCAAAACGCTTATGAATAACGATGTTATCAGTGCCAAAAACAAAGAAATGGTATTTCCAGTAGCATTCAAAGTCTCTCTTCATATGAACACCAGAAGCCAGTAAACATTAGTCTTACCTGTCAAGGTTTTCTCAAGGACAAACAATGTGGAAAGTGAGAACAATCCAGACATACCTTTTCACAACCTACCCTCCTTTCAAACCAGGAATACAGCTCAATAGACTGTTGGCGATATCCATCGCCATTAGAATAAAACAATGAGTGTTATGTGGCTATGAGCGTTGGTGGGCCCGAGGGGTCTAGGTTCCAGCTATGTAACATAATTGGCGGCACTGGGAAGTTTCTCTGGACACAAATTGAAGTCAGTATGCCTAAAGTCCTAGATATGTAAAGCGAGTGACTCCGTGGAAGGATATCACACTTTTGATTCCACCGTGTCTCTGGGGTTTTGCAAATAACAGGTACTTGAATTAACCCCTGTGGGTTATTCACTGTGGTATTTGGTTCATGGCTTGTTTCCCAGTTGGATACGCTCTGGAAGTTTCTCACGCTTGAATTTGCGAAAGTGGACAACTGCAATGGTCAGTTAAAGACTCTTTTAACTTGGCCTTAAATTCAGCCACATATAATTGATTCAGATTCGGCATATCAAGCATGATCGAGTTGACTGGAGAAGGAAATTTATACAACATTTGTGATTTGAGTAAATTTGACTTTGATGACATATTCCATGGTCTTTTCGGTTTGGTAATTTGTGACTCAAGTTCACATTGAAAACATAACCCGATATGTGGCTTTGTGACTTCCACAGATTCGACATCTGACTGTACATGGCATGTGTGAGCAAGTCTAAAGACTGTTGATGTCAACATGACCATCTGTCTCGACAAAAACAGAAGATCGTGATTTCTAGGAAACGACAATAGACAGGAAAATATTGTCTTGTATTTTGTAAATATGGTTGTCATCCGATATATCATCAAGGCCATCTTTGTCCGGATTATGCTGACGTCACACAGCTTGTTGTCAGTGTGGCGGGTGGTCGACGTGACGAAGTTCCGTTACTACTGGTTACTGCTGGCCTCCAACATACTTGTGTTGCTGGAGACGTATTTCAGACTCAAGAAGAAGAAGGGACAGGAGGGAAAATGGTAAGTGACTTGAAATAAAAGGAACTTTCCAAACGAACAGCATGTCATTTTAACGGCATACAGAACCATGATAAATTGAGTTATGCTTTCAGATGTATATTATCACAGAGGTAACACGTGCATGCGTGTGCAGTTTAGTAACATATATACGAGGTTTTCGACTCACGTATGTAAAAAGACGTGTTTAAACATTATTTGAGTTGTTTTACTGTGACGTGAAGTTGGGGAAAGCGCAACGTCAAGGAAACGAAGGTCATGCAGCCTCAGACGTTCAGTACTTTGGAGGAAACATGATGGCAGAGTTAGAAAGAGGGAGGTTTTCAGTCAGGTCACTCCACTGTACTGATTATCGTCAACAAACAGATCGTAATTTCAAAGTTGAGCTTCCTGGACATGTGAGTTGCTTATATCCGGTGTGTCCGACAGAAACACATCCAGTAAACAATGGTGACAAGAGACATACTTAACGTCTCAAAGTGGTAATGGGGATTGTTACTAACTTCAACATTGGATTAATTTATCACTTCTTGAACAGATTAATTTGTACTTACGTAAGATAGCACGCAAATCAGTTCCGTATATATGGTACGTAACTTCACCGTAGAACTGTTGTCTTCAGGATGTTACTGTTTGGACAGTGTGTTGGTATCTGTTGTAACTGAGGCGGCCATAGTCAAGACTGTCACTTGGGAGGTGTTGATCACACACGCACAGACAACAAGTCGGTGAATAGGTTTTAAATTTAAGTGAGTAAAGGTCATTTTATGCCGCATTCAACTACATCATGTATATTTTGGTTTGTAACATTAATTGTTATTAGGGAACTTATCTATTCCGATCTCATTGGGTGTGTGAATTTGTCAGCTACCCCATCCTCCTCCAGACAACATGCTGTCATTTCTGATGATAATATATCTGTAGCTGACGCTAACAGCATGCTGTTACTCCATGAAGGAAGTTCCAACTTTCACGTAACAGAGACAAAGTATGTCCGATGCGATTCCATGTTTTCATTTGTATCATGCGTTCCTGTAATTTTAGGTAAACAATGTGCCACTGAGACACGCTCCCCTTTGGGCGGACACCCAAACTAAGCAATACTGTTCATAAACACATGCTGATTTTATTGACTCTGACATTCACCTCTGGTTTTAGAATACTTCATATGGAAATCGTTTTTTCGGTTCTATTTAACCGTATATAGATATGCTATAGTTATATTTTTATATAAGTAGATTTTACCTTGCATAATGCATTTCGCATTTGGTCGAGCTCCATTACAACCCAATATACGTAACCCTGTCAATGTCACGTATATTGCAATGATTATACAAGTAGAGATTACCTTTCATGGTTAGATACAGACTCGGTGTCATTGTACTCGTCCTCTGATCAATGACAAAAACGCATTCATCAGCACCCGTGTCACTTCCTGTTTGTAATTGGGAAAACGCAATAAAAAACTGATATTTGCGGCATTAAGTGCGTCAATTCTGAGATCTTGTGTTGGTATATTGCCAACAACCATGGGTTGTGGCCGGTTCTTGTCTCATGACCGTTGACTATAACGTTATGAATGCGACTACCACTGAAACTCTATTACTGCACCTGACTGTGATATAATCCATTAGATCCCATTGTCATTCACCCGACTGTCATTGGGTACCATCAACGTCACTATGGTGGATGTTATTTCATTACCAACACATAGTGAGATGAAGGATGTGTGTATTGGAAACCGGGTACATAGAGAAGAAAACAGAGTTACGGTTCTTGTTGTCTAGCTCATCCTCGTCTAGCGTCCACCACTCGAGATGTACATGCCCTGTAAATAAAGAAGAGCTTTTAAGTGTACTAACTCTTACATTCAGGCGTCATACAGAAACGTCATCGGATGGAGTTTTGTGTGGAAACAAAGGGCAATGCATGAAGCTACGGATGACTCTGTGACTCACTAGCTACGTATGACACTGTGACTCGCTAAGCTAAGGATGACACTGTGACTCGCTAAGCTACGGATGACACTGTGACTCACTAGCTACGAATGACACTGTGACTCACTAAGCTAAGGATGCCACTGTGACTCGCTAAGCTAAGGATGCCACTGTGACTCGCTAAGCAACGGATGACACTGACTCACTAAGCTAAGGATGCCACTGTGACTCGCTAAGCAACGGATGACACTGACTCACTAAGCTAAGGATGCCACTGTGACTCGCTAAGCAACGGATGACACTGTGACTCACTAAGCAACGGATGACACTGTGACTCACTAAGCTACTAAGCTACTAAGCTAAGGATGCACACTGTGACTCGCTAAGCAACGGATGCCACTGACTCACTAAGCTAAGGATGCCACTGTGACTCGCTAAGCAACGGATGACACTGTGACTCACTAAGCTACGGATGACACTGTGACTCACTAAGCTAAGGATGCCACTGTGACTCACTAAGCTAAGGATGACACTGTGACTCACTAAGCTACGGATGACACTGTGACTCACTAAGCTACGGATGACACTGTGACTCACTAAGCTAAGGATGACACTGTGACTCACTAAGCTAAGGATGACACTGTGACTCACTAAGCTACGGATGACACTGTGACTCACTAAGCTAAGGATGACACTGTGACTCACTCACGCAGGCCATTTTACCAAAATGGCTGAGACGACATTGAGGGCAATTCCATCCATTATTCGTGCATCGATTGTTCGTTGCCTATTCTTGCTGCACAATGTATTAGCAGTCTGGTTGCTGGCCTCAAGACTCTCTAACAGCAACTACTTGTCCATGCTGCTTCTGACCATACCACTTCTAATAGAAACTGGACATACAGTATGTTTTCGCTATGGGAAGGACTATGTGTGGTAAGCAATATTGTAAAGGTGGTGGTGTCGTGTCCAAAGCTAAATCTTTGAAAATTCAGGTTGATGTACATGTCAGTTTCTAAAAGTGAAAGCGGGGAAGAAACTTTACGTTTTGTTCAATATCAGTATATGGCTTTTAATAGTATGACAAAAGAATTACATCACGGTACAGAGATAATTACAGCTCCATATTGAAGTGATACCTTATTTTGCTAATCGTATTAACGGAAAACCCCTGCTATGTGGAACGCAAAGGATTAAAACAGTTAGGAAAATTGATTCAGGCCCATTAAGGCTGTTTAGGTTCATCATCAGCTCTCGGATCTTGCCCCCTCTACACTTTCTCTCTCTCGGAAACTGTATGGAGTCCCTTCAGTGCTCAAGTAGCAACATACACGAAAAGTTAATGTCACGCAAAGAACGGTCCGGCATATTTCTATAATGCCACACATGTTTTATTAAACGTATTCTGTTAAAGTGATAATTAAATTGTTAAATTCACCTCCGTTTCTCAATCGGTAAATCACAGATGAATAAAATGACAGATGTAGTGGTGGAATTGGGAGAAAACTCACAATCTTCAAGGCCATCATGTGCGATTTCATTTTGCTCTGTCAGCTATGCATACATTGGAATGACTTTGTACCAATGGTGATTCTTAAATTTATGTGTCGAAGTTATGTTATTCTTGAAAGTGTTCGGTGCCTCCTCTGGGGCAACTGCCATATCCAGTGTGGCTGATTGGTTTGTGCTGACTGGGCCGTGGGGTTTTATCCTTGTCGGTCTTTAACCCAGTAAGAAACCAACTTCTGGGGGGTGATCCGGAGCTGGCTGATGTACGTTTGGTTCAGGGGGATGAATCCGGGTGCAAACCCTTTGTTCGTCAAATTAGATGCATCATTATAATTTTTTCAGTTAATGTTTAATCAGCACAAGTATGTTTAAAACCATAGGAATCGTACTGATTTCAAGGCATTGTCTATATTACATCTTACACAATTCATTGACCACAATGCGATACCTAATGAACTTTTACTATAGTGAATGTCTTTCCATATAGAAGCCGCATACCGCTTATGATGAAACAGGAACAAGGCATGTGTGTCCTTCTCATTATTCAGGCAACTAACAAAATATTGGGAATTTTGATTAAAACTAACAGACCAAACATTATATATTATAAACAGTGGTTTTAAAAACTGTATGTACCTGATATTCAATTACCCCCATTCCTCCCATATTCAGTTACACCTAAACCATAACAATTTCAGATAGGTATTACTACAGACTACGGCAGCATGTTGGTTTCAAAGTACAGTATGCCCCTTCCTCTCCCGCCGTAGAGAGGTGGGCAGAAGAGTTTAAACGTGAAGAGTCTACAGGATAATCCCTCTCCTGGAAACCCTGCGACGTCAGTAACACTACAAAAATATCTGAATTTCCGATTCCACAATAATACTCTAGCTCTGTTTGAAGCTGATGCAGAAAGACTATGTGACTATGGATGAAACTATCTGGGCTCACCACTTCCACTTCCTCCAGTCGAAGCCTTAACAACAATGAAATGAGTGGAAGTATTTCACTTGAAACATCACCAGAGAAGGCAGCGACTGTCTTATCATGAGGAAAGTATTACAATCCGTGCTCTGGAACAGTCATCAGGGTGGACTATCTCTTAAAATGTCACACAATAGACCTGAGCAAATTACATATGATATACTTTGGAGGCAATTACAGGATGAAATGGACTTCTACCATTATTGCAGTATCGTTGATTTATGCACGTGAAGCGGAATATGTCCCAAGATAAATCACTGTAATCGGTTCAGGTCAAAATTTAAATGTGAGGCTCCGAACTTCAATGAATCCTTGACTTTGTACGTCAGGATAGGTTCCCTCGTAGGGTTACGAAGCGACCATACTGATTGGATTCATTCATTCACTGGAAAATATATAAGCCATACTCGTTTTGGTGGAACATAACATTCAAACATGTAATACCATATATCATAGCGTATTGAACAGTTATTCAACACCACAATCGATGCAGTGTACATGTTCGACATAACCCCATACCATGTGTCATACTGGTTACACTGATGACGTTGTGTCACATTACTTCAGTAATAACCGGGGATCCCACTGCATGCTCGTATTTTATGACGTTTCTCCGTACGTACTAGACTCGGTAATTACTGAGTCTAAATGTGACAGTTGACTGTTTACCTATTGTGGACCACACATGTCCTTGTTGCCGTGGAAGTACCCGAGTACTTTGTTTTGAGTAAGCCGACTTGGTGTGGCTGATTACATTCGCGGGTTATATTAATATCATTAGGAGGTTTATGGTTGAAAACACTTGCGTCAGAAAACAGATTACCGAAAGGATCAGACTCAGCTGAATGCGCCTTCTTGCGATCAGGACATGATTGCATACATTCTCAAGCTTCTATTATTCTGGGGATTGTTACGTAGAAGATGAATAATAGTAACTCATAACTCCCCATCCAATTCCGAAAACAAAACTTAAACTCCCAGCAATACGAGTAACCAGTATCGAGTATCTGCTGATACAGATTCCATTAATTGTGGAGGGTAAAATAGTCGGGAAAATTATACGAATGGATCCCTGAAATACGAATTGACTGTTGAGCTTAGTGTATATCCATGACTTGTGGGCGTTTCGTCTCTGTTATATTTTTAAAACATTTATTTCATTCTTTATTGGATACAGCTGGGAAAGTATTAAAGCGTTCTAAAATGAATATTTAGACTTTTGTAATTATATATGTGTATTCCTATCTCATTTTCAATGATTCACGAGAGACACTTTGCCTTGCCCTTATCTTCGCTTTGCTTTCACAAGCAGGTTACCCATCCAATACACCTGTCAGTTGGGCGTTCAGCCTACAGTACTCTGCCACACCATAATTGGACTTTCACAACACAACATCTTTATCTTTTTACACCAAATGTTTTTTGTTTTGTTTTTTGTTTTTGTTTTTTGTTGTTGTTTGGTTGGTTTTTTGTTTGTTTTGGTTTTGTTTTTTTGTTTGGGGTGCTTTGGGTTTGTTTGATTTTGTTTGTTTGTTTTGGGGGATGGTTGTTTTGGGGGTTTTGTCGCCAAATGTAGGATTTTGGTAGATGTACGTTTTATGCTTAAAAGCTGTCCAAAGCAACGTAAATTCTGAATTTATTCATTGCATAAGTGTCCTTTGTTGGTGACTGTTGTGACTAGGTATGTTGACCTAACTTTTCAAGGGGGATGTTTCTGTTGGTCTATAATATAACAATATGATTACCATTTAAGTGTTTATGGAAATATGATAAAACATATGTAATGATCAAGTTTAGCATCAAAACGTCAGTATAGATGGTGTCCAGAAATGACTTTTATCCATGCCACACTATTAACAGGCCCCATGTAAATCCATTAGTTATAGTGCAAGAGACTGGCCATTCGATTTTCTTAGGTTGAGGAAAGCAATGTCTTTTCAAAATAATTGTTCGATTTTATTATTTCATTTTAGTCTTCTCTCAAAGGTAATTGTTCACTGGATGTCTCCTCCGAATATAAAACGGTTAGCCTCTTTTCGACCTTGGCCGCAGGAGTGTTTTGAGACAGATCACTGAATATATTTGAGTGACCAAACCAGGTGCCCATGCGCTACAATAGTTCCCTTTGAGCCGGACAACAGAACATAGGATGGTCGAGGGAACACGTTGACCGGTTCATATTCATAAAACCACAAAGTGCTATATGTGTACACGTCGCGGGACCTCATGTTCTTTTGTCCAGTGTCGGAAATTGACGCATGAACAGTCCTTCCAATATATTACAGGTCTTACAAAACTGTCAACATGTCTTGATAATGACGTTATTTCCCGTCTACATTGTACCTATAATTTCTACACACACACATGTTAGTCCAGACCTGGGATGTTAGTTCACGTGTTGTAGAAGGATTCAATCGTCGTGCAGTTGTCCTTATGCTGTTTATTCAGTGGTGACATGTCCTTCATTACTTCGAATCAAATGTCGGAGATTTAGTGAAACGGAGCAACACATAAAGGGCCAGCGATTACCTTAAGAGGTCATGAAGCTTGAAAAACAGTTCCTTTATTCCAAGGAATAATCAGATTATTCTGGATGGCCATTAGCTCAGCGGGTATAAGTTCCAACGTCGCACACGTTCGCCTTTTAGTGTCGGCCGTTTGTAAGTTTGGACGTTCGTGTGCCTTCGGGACAACAATATGGTGTGACATGGAATTTCACAAACCTTCACCCCGTGAAGAAGTGTTATTTCGTAGATAACCTCTCGTTTGTGGAACCGGGCGAATAAGCAGTGTTTCGACGTACCCGGCAGACTCAAAATGACCGTATCTTTTCGGCTCAGAACTTTCATATCATCATTGTTTGTGCGACTGATGCTTCTCACGCATACATTAATAGCATGTTGGAGAGCTGTGTCGTCTACAAACAATGAATACTACTGGCTTCTGGCAGCGCCCGTTACTTTGCAACTCATTGAGTTTATGGTGATGATGACGTTCAGGAAAGGAGTGGAAGGATTATGGTAAGCGTCTTTTGTTTGCAATAATGGCAAGAAAATGTCATTGTGACATTTTATCTACTGAACTACGGCGGATCCGTATACCAAACCATCTTGATATTGTCTGTGTAAAACATTATTTTTACTGGATTTGTATTCAGTTTTGAACGTATGGAAACGTATGGAACGTTGAGAAAGAACAGGTCCCTAGTAGTTTTTGCTTCTCGTTAAAGCTGTTTAAATTGATGTGTTTTGTGATGAAATTGTGAAGACTCCATGACCTTGTCAGATGATGATACGCCATAGATACGTTAGTTTGGTTTTAACATAGGAGTCCATATGACAAGCCCATGCCCCTGACAGATCATTGTGAATCTGTTGATTTTATTTGTGATTGTGATTTTACGTCATGCTTACCAACACTCCAGATATATAACGAAGGTATGTGACTGACCGTGTCTGACCCAGGGAATCAATATATGTATGTAGTTTTCTGAAAAGTACCCATTTATGGACTGTCGGGGTTTTCCTCTTTACTGCACGTGTTTCCCTGGTATTGTTTCGTTCATAGAGCATTTAGGGAGATTCTTCAGCTGGGCAAAAGAAGTAGAAATTTTGCCTAATGTTTTCGAATTAGCAGAGTTGGTGGAAGCAGCGTTCGAAATATTCGACCAAGCGCCGGTTGTTATTGTATCGACCCGGCAGTTTCAAATAACTGCAGGCCCTTATGGCCTTCAGTAAATCTTTTTTATCAACTCGAATCTTGGGGGTTTTTTCTAGGTTTTTTTTTTCTTCTTCTTTTTTCTTTATTAACGTTCGAGAATCATCCATGATCCATCATATTACGATAACTTACAGTTTCACTTCACGGTGTTTCAGCGCTTTGCGCATAGGAAAATCAACATCAGTCTTTAAGAAATAGAAACGTCTCTCTGTGCCATAGGCTTCGCTAAACGAATTTGTAGAAACAGTGTGAAACTGTGTACAGTGAAGTCTATTTTGTTTTTATTGGTTTGGCTTTAACAAGATGAGCCTGCAGATTTCATTCAGGACCTGTAGATTTTAAAGCCTGCAGGCAGTAGCAGGCACTGATGGCCAACAGGCAAATTAAAGTATTGCAAACACTGAGTGGAAGGTCTGATAAGGTAACTGTAAACAGTCGCCGGTAACTGGTTCCGAAGGCGGATTTCCGAACTGACTGGATCCGGGTTGGAATTTTCGTTGTGTATGACGCGTACGAGATATGGGTATATGTAAATACTGTCAGAACAAAGACATACTACGTCGTCAGTTTCATATCCAAGTGATGTTGATAGCAGGAGGTACGATGCCTACTGCACCATTGTACCTAGGCATGCAATACCGCCCTGCGTCATCTGTAGGTGTCATATAGTCCTGTCAATCACAGACACCGTGTCAACACAACCATTGTTGCTGGCAGGTTGTGCAGTAATAAAAGCTGGGATGTAATGAATGACTTTTCGCCTTTGGTTGTGTATAGAAGGTGTCATGAACAATTGTTTGTATGAGCGACGAGATTTTATCACGTAATGGAAATAAGGCCCCAGTATTGCTTGTAGCGTCACAATATCCTGTATCGGTGTGTCAGTACGCCGGGACCTCTACGATGTATTTGACACAGGCTATGCATGCAGGGAGAAAGGGTTTCAGGAAAGCTGAACAAAATCATCCTGAATATTTATCGTAATTCTTAAATTTCATCAATCATGTCTAATTCAGGACATGGAAGGTTTTGTTACGTGTTTGTAAATTAACTGGAAGAAGAATCTCACCCATGGTAAAACCATGTAAATTTGGACGGTACTTTTCCATTGGCGGATCCAGAGGGGTGTTCAGGGTGGTCGACCCCCCCCCCCCTTTTGAAAATGACTTAAGACCACATTGAAGATTTATTTTGCGTTGGCGGAGCCAATGGGGAAACCCCCCCCTTTTCAAAATTCCTGGATCCGCCATGCCCATGCTGTTCCAAGTTTTTATAAATTTCCACACAATATCAAATCATCAGTATTTGGTGTGTTTAGTAAGATACGCAAGTTTCCGATAGTACTCGCCCTGATGTTAAGTCCAGAAACTTAATTGTCTAAATAATAGACAACACTACGTTGTCCTGTTGTCCTGGACGATCCCACATCATAATTATTAACTAATTGGTTTTGACCATTTGGTTAGTACAACGTAGAGGCCAAGCAACAATGGAGGAGAAACTGAATTTCCTTTGCACAAGCCATCATATCCATTACGATCAAACAAAACGTAAGCTGCATACTGTCCAACAAATATAATTGCATCTGTATATTTGTCTTGAATATATGAATGTATCTCACAGGATTTAATTTACTGTTTTTGGACAAACTTCTCCTACACTTGGACATTTGCGTAACAGGCGTGTACCCGGCGCTCTGTGGTGACGTAGCGTGAACCTAACAATGTTTAACCCCGTCCAGTGCTGCATTTGAAGAAGGTCGTAGTGACTTATGACTTCACGTTATGTTTCGTTTATTTCCTGGATCGTTTCAGGATCTGCCCCTGTTTCTTCTTCTACCTACTGAGCACGGTCCCGGCCATCTGGATCCTGGAGCTGGATCGCCTGGCGCGGTACACGGAGATCTACGAGAGCAGCAACAGCTCCAGCGTGGAGTCACTGTCCGCTATACAGGGGGTTCGTACATCTACACCTGAAATTATTATCCTCGTTTCCTGAACAATAATGGTCGTATATGTGTCTTGTTTATTTAACACAGCACTCAACAACACTCCATGTTCCAGCTATATAACAGTGGTATTTAAATGTATGGTAAACCAGTTATTGGTACACACTGACGGAGTACGGTGACACTGAATAACCAAGCCTGAATATTCGACCCTTTCAGTGTATGCGTACTGTAAGAGAGAACCTAGTCTGCCCCTGACTCCCCACCGGGTACTTAAACCTCGAAACCTCGCGGAGACCACAGACAGTTTATCGAGTTATTAAGAGTCAAAGGCATTAGAAACGTGACTGCTGTGTCTCTGAGTCTAACGATTCTTTCATTCAGTATGGTGATCTACTCAACCAACTGACATATGTACCGGCTCGAGGATATTGTTGACTGGGTCGACCGACATTGTGGGAAGCTACTCATACTATCAGTTACTTGTTGTCTCTTGCTTAGATTACGACTTTGTTTATTGTTAGAATATTTTTGAACGTAGCTTAAAACAAGAAAGGAACAAACAATTTAAATAATGCGTTTTGTTTAATGTTGAGATATTGTGATATCGAAGCCTACAATATCAAACATTGCACCAAAGAGTAGATACATGAAGTTATTAGTTATTACATTTTAATTCAAAGGTTGATGCTGTAAAATGTGTTACCCAGCGAGCCATTCTACACACGCAGCCACATTTGTGACTAATTTGTTGACGATTACTTGCAGGTCTCATTACCCATTACACTGAGTCCAAGCCTGTGGATGTCAGTCATTGAACAATCCTTTCTATTCCTCATCATCATTGGCCGATGGATACTTCCGCGAGGGGAGCTAACTCGTGACAAGCTTTCACAGCTGCTTTTCGTCTACATCGGCATGGCATCTGACATCATGGATCTGTTTGTCCTGTTTGAGGAGCCCGATGTTCGCAAGGACCGCGTCTACACCTACGTCATCCTGGTCCTCTGGTCAATAAGTCTGCTTCAGTTCGCAATCGTCCTCACAGCCACAAAAAGTCCCAAAAAATCTCGCCCGGCTTTAGTGCACCCTGAAGAGGAGTTCGAAGAAGAGAAAAGGAAAGTATGCGGTTCGTGCTGCGGGTGCTTGAAAACCGAGATCTGGAGTCTCCTTCTGTCATTCATGATGCAGGATGGACCTTTCCTCACATGTCGACTTTACGGCCTCATCCGCTACAACCTCATCACCTACAGCATCATCTTCTACACCTGCAAGAACATCTTCGTCGTCCTGCTCCTTGTGTACAGGTTGTTCGTGCTCTGTTGTTTCGAAAACGAATCTGAAACCGACAAGGCTGCTCACAGGGCTGTGAAGAAGGCGGCTGTTGTCCGAAGTATGTCAACACGTGCTGCCAATGCGCGGCTCGCATTGGTCGAGGAAGACTACGCCAACGGCGGCAGCAGACGACAGGGTGCCAGGCGGAGTAAAGGTCGCAGCGTGAATGGTGCAACAACTAAACAAGGCCAAACACGCATCGTTGAAGTCGAATGAGGTTAAAAGTTGTATCCACACTTTACCTTAACATCCTACCCCTGTATACACCGGTTGTTTGAGCAATGTTGTTTCAGAATCATGGCCGCGGTAGCACTGAGGCCGCGCAAATCTTAAACCTCTGCCACATTTATTTCAAACATGGACCTTGTATATGTTTTATGCCGTTACGTAAGACAGTGTTAGTTCACGATATACACAAATGAAGACATTAGGGAGTGGCCATCAAAACAAGCAGAAGACAGAAAGTGTGCAAGTTAATCCCGTTATAGCTTCATCAAGAAACGTCTCTCTAAAAGTGGCGGGGCCGGACTATTCGGCAGTAGCAGCCGTTAAATTAAATCCAAAATGATATTTGTTGTCTGGTAATTCATTTAATTATAAATATTGATCTAGCAGTTTGATAACCTCATGATACATAGGCACCTTAATAGTTTTCGCGCCCTGTTGCAACGTCTGGACCTTGACAGGACCGGCGCCATGGAGAAACACGGCTCCTGTATAAGGCAGTGTGTGGCCATTTGTTTGTGCATATTTACCTGTGAATAGAAGTTAAGCACCGCGTACTTTATGTCTTTCGAAAATGTCTACATGTCGATGAAAGATGAAAAACTGGTACCCGAACGCTGTGTTTATATAGGCAGTTGCATGAACTCTTTATAATGCACAATCTCATTAAATGGACATGTTACACAGCTGAATAACATGACTAATTAGTGGGAAGTAGGCGTTAAGCTTTTTTCGTTAGCTTAACGGCTCTAGTTTCATACTGGCCACTTGCGAAACACTAGGCTTTGCAAAAAAATTGACAAAGTTTTCAATCCAGATTCTGAAATCTGAACACGTGAATATCAAGGAACGTTTAACAGATGGCAGCACAGTCGGAAAGGACCACCCGTATCAATACAAAGGCGAATCAGGCGAAAAGTCGACACTGTCGTTCGGAATACCTCGTTTTAACCTTTTGAGATTGCATGATTAGAAAACACATTCTAACTTTCACTTTCGCTGTTTCGTAAGCGATGCTGTGACTGATCTGATGAATGGTCTTTCTGACGTGACGGGGATATTCTCTGATCGATGTACAGCAATAGCACTAGGCTCTGACGTTAATGAGACTGCATGATGCAAATGATAACAGACGAAGGTGTTAACAGGGCATACCAGCCATGGTCAAAGATACAGAACGGTTACAGATCGTCATTGGTTCATGCCTTTTTATATCGATACCACCGAGTATTCAAACACAATTGGCCGTTTTGTATGCAAATATATTTGCATATGTGGTTAGTTTGTGATGTTGGCATGTGCGTGTCACTGAGACATATAGATACCCGAATCTATTTTAATTCCCGGATTTGTTTTCAAACCGTCTTTACTCAGTGAATCGGATATGGAGACTACACCGTGCCTGGGGCACCTGTCAAACGAGCAGCATTGTCCGGATCAGCATTACACTGTTATATTTCCCGTCCATTCGTATTGTCATCTACCTGCACATGTCTACATAATATAAGCTTCACTGTAGTTCAGTGATCCTGCAAAGTGTTTTCGATGACCTAACACTATAGACAGATGCTTATTGTATGTTCTGTGTTGGTCTTTTCTTCAACATTTTTTCTTTAAGTTTGAATAAGTAGCAAAGTAATGGTTTTGCATTTGTGTCTTAATAAACCGAAACTTATGCAGGCCTCACCCACTAACGGTCTACTGTCTATTGATTTGTTGATAATACAATGGGCGGGGCTTGTCTTGCTTTGAGGCGCTAAATGACTTAATATGGTTCTCCAATGTTTTTTGTGTATTTAATGATTAAATATGCAGTGTGTAAAGGTAGTTTTGTTGATTATCTGTTTTGTAAAATTTACATTTGCAGCCAGCAAGGCTGTACACGTACAAATCGGCGTGCGCACTTTCATACAACTAATATAAATTAAATATGCACACAAACATGTAAACACACAACTATAGCATTTAATAAAGAACGGTTCTTAATAACTATAATTCGTCAATGTCAAAACCTCACTGAAAGCTAACGTGTGCATACGTTGGAACCTACAGGTTATATAGTACACCCTTCACACAAAGCATGGTATTTCGTAATGCCAACAGCCGCATCTTCCAAAGGGGGCATATTCTTTATTGTTTTTGGTTAATAAAACATCTAGGTTTCAGGTTTATTGTAAAGATGTTAAAGAGGTCCAAAACTCCGCTAGATACATTAATTACAATATGCTGAAATATCTGAATATTTCTATTCCCTGTGAACGTATTTCATAAGGGAATTGGAACGACTCGTGAAATACATCTAAATCATGTTGCTCTGGTTCTTGGTGTGTGTTTTGTGTGTAAGTTAGAAGACTCATAAGGTTGTAAGATCATGGAATCACAAATGTCATCATTTTTCAAATATTAATTAATCTCTTGTTATTTTTCCCCATAAGTATAACTATCTCTTTATTCTAGCTACACACAGGTAGGTACATGTTGCGTCCAGCTGTGAAAACCACTGTGTCATTGCGTTAAATTATAACAAATTTGTGCTCATTATGTTCTTTATCAAATTGACATTCTTTTGCTGCTAAGTAAGGAAGCCTTGCGTTGTCAGATGGAAAGAAGATCGCCTCATCTTCTCTTTTTACCCAGAATTGATGCGCCAGTTACTACCCGACGAACGTCTCCTTTAAAAATGACATTGAGAGTAGTCCCGTCGACATGCTTTGTCAACAGAGAATCGTTTCAACACATACCATTGTACCCATATGGAGGGGTTGGACCACTGTTAAAACCCCAATACGTGTATGTACCGCCGTGACAGCACAGATGAAGGATGAACACTCTCAAGTATACAAGAGTAGGCAAATCCGTTTGTTCTGTGTTCGTCGCGTCGAATAGTAAAGGACATAAAGCATTCATTGTGTCCCGCCAAGTATTTTATTTTTATCGTTTATGCCATGCTTTGTGTTCGTTTAGGTTGGTATGTTTGACGCCGCAGTCAGCAATGTACAATTCCGCAGTGGACACGGGTCTGGGCCAGACAACCTGTACCTTGTGTTCTGGAGCAGGATAACACGTGGTCTGGGAACAGTCGCTGTTTCCAATATCTCTATAACATGTAACTATTATTGCATGTTGGAATCAATGTTTCAGTTATTATTACTTGTTGGAGGTACATTTCGTCAATAGTTACATTGTAACAAGAAAATTGCTGTAGTCTAGGACTACAAAAGTCCTTAAGGACGCTTGTGAAGTCACTGACCAGGGCCTTTTAAGGACATGCATAGGGTGAGGTTGTTATAGGACATGGTGAGGTTGTTGTAGGGTTGGTGAGGTTGTTGTAGGGCATGGTGAGGTTGTGGTGCATGGCAGGGTTGTTAACGGACATGGTGAGGTTTTTGTAGGGCATGGTGAGGTTGTTGTGGGGCGCATGGCAGGGTTGTTAAAGGACATGGTAGGGTTGTTGTAGGGCTGGTGAGGTTGTTGTAGGGCATGGTGAGGTTGTTGTGGGGCATGGCAGGATTGTTAGAGGACATGGTAGGGTTGTTGTGGGGCATGGCAGGGTTGTTGTGGGGGACAGGGTGGTTAAAGGACATGGTTGAGGTTGTTGTAGGACATGATGATGAGGTTGTTGTGGGCATGGTGAGGTTGTTGTGTGGAATGGCAGGGTTGTTAAAGGACATGGTGAGGTTGTTGTAGGGCTGGTGAGGTTGTTGAAGGCATGGTGAGGTTGTGGGCCATGGCAGGTTGTTAAAGGACATGATAGTTTGTTGTAGGGCATGGTGAGGTTGTTGTTGTAGGGCATGGTGAGGGTTGTTGTGGGGCATGGTGGGGTTGTTGCAAGGGGCATGGTGAAGGTGTTTGTTGGGCCTGACAGGGTTGTTAGAGGACATGGTGAGGTTGTTGCTGGACATGGTGAGGTTGTTGCTGGACATGGTGAGGTTGTTGCAGGGCATGGCAGGGTTGTTAGAGGACATGGTGAGGTTGTTGCTGGACATGGTGAAGTTGTTGTAAGGCATGACAGGGTTGTTAGAGGACATGGTGAGGTTGTTGTAGGGCATGGCAGGGTTGTTAGAGGACATGGTAGGGTTGTTGTAGAGCATGGTGAGGTTTTTGTTGTAGGGCATGGTAGCATTGCCGAAGGATATGGTCAGACGATAATTGTAGGACATGGTCAAGTCATTGTAGGGCATGGTCAGGTTGTTGTAGGACATGGTATTCGTCGCGAGAATCTTTTGTTGTTGTACGTGCTAAAATTACCTGGGAAAGGAAGAATATTTTATCGTTTGCCGGTTTAAACAATTGTAAGAGAGAAACCATTAGCTTCTCCTGGGAGAGGGAGAATTTTAGTTAACACTGTATATGTAGGAGCCCAGTTATATTTTTCAGACATAAACAGGTACAGTTTTACTCTTTTATGCAAAAGAAATAACGAACTGTATTCCTCTACACTTTAATATAGTCTACAGGAACAGGTCACATCATGCACTATTTCCAAAGGGCGAGACATACTGAGCATGATCTGTACCACGCTTCATTAGTGTCTCCAGCGGAGAAGAAAATCAAAACTTATTGGAAGGGCCATAACTCTTGAAGGTTTATCTCTACTATGGTCCGTACACAAGACAACATACCAGAAGTCTGCCTTAACACCGACAACACCCGATGTTGTCCCTTTATCTGTAAAGGGTCAAGGTCATGGTCGTAGACAGAAATGGCAACTGTTAGATGAATTTATCGAGAGCAAACGTACCCTTACTCCTCTACTCTGCTATATATACTTGTACCAACACCAACACCAACACAACACAAACACAAATTAATAAATAAAATACAAATGTAAATATTGTGTAAACTAGCGAATTTATACATGTTTGGCTTCGCATGGGCACAGGCAAAACATTTGTGCTTTGTGCATCTTGATAAACAGCGTGCAGCATATGGTTCACGTTATACATTTGAAAAGTTAAACGGCTAATGAACCGCACATCTTGCCACGACTC